CAGGCAGATTCTGTCCAGGTGACAGGGTGCATTCCTGCAGATTTATCAATCTTGACAAACCTACATCATGGGTTTCATATAAGGCTGAAATTCAGAAGTTATTACTAACAATCAGTATACAAAAACACTGAAACAGAGTGTCTGATATTGTTTCAAAAAAAAAAAAAGAGTGTCTGATGTACTAAAGTTCTCGTAGATGAAGCTTTTTCCATGGCCTATACAGTTGTTCCCTTTGGCTTTCAGTTAGCTTCTAATTATGCATCTGTTTTATTTAGATGAGGTATGGACTATGGGAATATGTTGCTGCCAGTATGTTGTTTAAGTTCTGAAAATTACGGGTTAAAAGTATGTTGATTGCAATTTTGGCTTCAAGTGACAGCAGCATCCTTGTGTACATCTCGGTGCGAACTAGCTTATGTACATCTTGCTGACAGCATCCTTGTGTACATATGGCAGGAAGGTTAGTTTATTCATGCTTTGAATCATTTTCAATCAAACGGCAACACAATGGTATGCAAATTGATATTCATGATTGATTTTGGCTACATGCGAAGCATTAAGTGCCTGTAGACGATTCCTTGTCTCTGGGTTGTATGATCTGTCTTTTTAGTTGTCTGCATGTTAGATTCCAGTCTCTTAGAGATGACCTCCCGTCTTGTGGGTTGTACGATAACTACAGGGTTGCAATTGCAGAGAGAAAAGGAAGTTATTAGTGCATAAAATGGAACTAACTCACCTTATTCAATAGCATGCCGCAGTCCCGTAGGATTTAGTGCATAAAGAGTTTCTCTCACTTGTGCAGCAACTCCTCCAGGTATTGATTGCGCCGTCTTAATCTAATCCAATCCAATCTCATTGAACTAACAGAGAGAAAATGGACATGATTCAGCTGCACTTAAAATAAGCCGCAGAACTGTCCAAGAACAGGGGAACAAGATTACAGCAGAACTAAAGTAGCGGGACTGCAGGGCTGCGAGGTTGGCTGGTAAAGGCCTTTGCTGATAGTTTCACCTAGCTTTCTATTATGTGTCCATTGTATATTGTCCAAACTCAAAGGCGACGCTTTCATCTGCGTAGGAAACTGTCTAATGTCTGCTACTTGCTTTTATCTATTGAAAGAAACTGAGCATTCTATTAATAAAGGATCAGCTCTTTATAATAGGAACATGTATCAGTCATTTTTATTTTTATTTTGCAGGATTGAAAACTGAAAGTTCACTTCAGTAAACCAAAAAATAGGCACAGGGCATGTTCCGGGTTACCCGACGTTATGTTCGAGGTCAGGGACGAATTGGTGAGCACATTGCTGGCCTTCTCTAGGCTCTCGAACTGCTGCAGCACCCACTGATGCTTGATGTTACAGTGGAATACCAGGCACTATTTCCACTTCTAGAATCCCGAGCGTGAACAACTCTCGCAACTGAGGCCTCGAGCACAACACAGGCAGCTGCTACAGGTAAAGGCCGAGCGGCAGAGATCATGGTATTCTGGATGGCCATTTCATCGAACAATATGGGGCTGTCTCTCGAGCCTGCTAGCGGTTAGCCTGCTATGTCGTGGCTTCCGTCACCCGTCAGTGCTGCCGCGCGGCACCGCTGCCTCGGCCGCCATGCTCCTCTCCTCGGGCCGTATCTACGCAAAAGATGCCGAGGCAACAGGGAGGGGTGCATCTTTGCGGCCGCAACGGCGCGGGCGGCGGAGCATGTCGAGTGCGGAGGACGGCAGTTGAGATGACTAAGCGCCGCAGCATATCGTAGTGCTGGAGAGGTGCACGTATTATTGACGTGCGCTGGCCGCTGCAACCGCAACGGCTGCTGCGCAATACGCGAAACGGAGGGAGGCCGCGCACGGGAACGAGGAGGGAGGAGGGGCTTCCACTCGACTCGCACGCGCTAGTGCTGTCGCCTGTTGCCAGTGAACCGTATCCGTTGTCGCGTCGTCAACTACGGAGCAGCTGGGGACGGCGGCGGTAACGGGAGGAGGAAGAGGCGCGCGCGGCGGCAATCGGAGGACGGAGTCCGGAGCGGCTGGTAGAGAGAGGCCGAGGATGAGGGGAGTGGGTTCGCGAACATTCGCGACCGTCGGGTTTGCGGCTTAATGGGCAAGACCCGAGGCAACCCGGAATCGACACGTGGCAAAATAAGGCGTTGGATTCGTTGGTGCAGATTTCGTTCTTGTAAGATTTGTTCAGGTTATCACAGACCATCTGAAAATCAGCGAGATGCACATATAAACATAAGGAACATCGAAGCAGCAAACAGTATACTAATACTGATAAACATATTCCTCATCATGCATTCATTAGACAATAGCAGTGCTTCCTTTGGCAGAAATCATGCTGGAACAATACACCTACTTGATACTGAAGAGTTTAATCGCATGATGAAAAAAAAAACTTTGATAATCAGAATCCTACCAGCGACTGATCCCAGTTATATTTTGTGGTTGACATTCCTTTTCACAGTATTTATGAATCAAATAATCCTGACCTCTTTCTGCACTACCAAGTTGAGTCTTGATAATAACCATTAGGCAGTCAGCTCAAGGCTTGGGACTTACTTTGCATGGGCTAATTGCCATTCACCAGCACTACTACTCATAACATTCATACTTCAGTTTGCAACGACAGTATCGCCAAGTCATAATACAAGTCAAAGAAAAACAGAAAGACTAAATAGGCTATCACCACTGTGTACGTACGTACGAAATAACCAGCAAGCGATTCCACGATCGAATCATCTAAAGCGATCGTTGATCGAGCACAGCTCATCCATGCAAGCAACTATAATCAATCCACACAGAACCAACACGTAATAACAACCATACATGCATGCATCTACAAACACCTCCCACAACTCAATCCCCATCCGAAGTTCTACGAACGCGGCGGATTGGCACAGGAAAAAGAGAGTTTTACATGTATGTCATTATAAAAGAATGTAATTACCTACCAGCTATTAAAAAGTTCGAGCAGTCATAGGTGCCGCTGCGCTAAATTTTTGGTCTTCCACATCATTCTGTCCACCTTTCGTTAGAATTTTTTACCGTTTGACTGCTCTGACATATGGGCCCACCCAATAAAGATGTCTAAAATGCCCTCTCCCCCACCTCTGTCCTCTCTTGCGCGCTCAGACGCCCGCGCGTCGCAGATGCGCTCGTTTCCCTGCTCCGTCTGGGGTCTGCGACTTTGCAGCCTCCTGCGCCGCCGCGCTGGAGGAGCTGGCGTGCTTCGCGCTCGCGGTTCCGGCCGGCGTCCTCCGCGGGCGCAACCGTCTCCGCGCGCGGTGGCCGCGCTGCTCGACTCCGCTGGCGCCGGCGGAGGGGACGCTGGACGGCATCGCGTGCCAAGGCCCTGGCGGCATCGCATGCCAGCCATGCTCCACCCGCGAGGCCTCCTTCCCTAGCTCGTACGACGACGACGAACAGGTGGTGGAGGAGAGCGTCGATGCGGCGCAAGACCTGGACTGGGCGGCCGACGAGGTGGCTCAAAACCATGGCGCGTCCAAGGGCAGATTCGCGGTGCTCTGCACGCCAGGGCACCGGAGCCGGCGGCCGCGGCTTTGGTCGGCGGCGAGAAGCGAGCGCCGCTCGACCTCGTGACAGTGATCGACTTCAGCAACAGTATGCGTGACCAGAAGCTGTTTCTGGTCGTACAGGCCGTGTCGTACTGTCGTTCGTCATCCACAACCTCGGACCGGCGGACCGCCTCAGCCCTCAGCGCGTCGTTTCCTTCTCGAATGCGCGACCCGCGTCCCGCGTGCTCCGTCTCGCGCGCATGATGGCCGACGGGAAGGCCTCCGGGGAAGCGCGCCGTGTCCGTGTGACCGCCAAGGTCCTCGATGATCGCCGGCAAAGGAACGCCGTGGCGGCAAGTCGATTTTGTACTCACGGCCACCGTCAATCGGGCGCGGGCGCCGATCTCCAAAAGCCGGACTATGCCAGCCTGAATATCTACAGGCTGTGCGTAGATGGCGAAGGCTTCTAGAATGGTCCGAGCCGGGCCGGCCTCCAGCGCGCGTCGTGAACGCTCACATACATGCATTGCTATACTGCCTCTAGCCGGAAGCACTTGCATTGCTATACTAGCTTAGCAGTTAGCACATCGTGAACGCTCACATACATGCATGAGACCGTATATCACATAGAAGCTCGTACACTTGCTAGCTTCTTCTTTTTCTCCCGATTTCTCGCTTCTTGATAGCTCGTATGATCGATCAAACCATCCATCAAACTAGTGCCATGCCCCGGCCAGTTCGTGTTCTAGCTCATATGTTGGCAGCGGATTCAATTCTCGCGCCGTATATCGCTCCGCGTATACATACGACGTACGACTTACTTAGAGAGAAATACATGGACGCCATAAAGCTGTCCAGATATGTGTAGCGTGAGTTCAGATACGCATTTGCTAGCATGTATGCACGTTTGTTTTCATGCAGCTAGCTAGCTGCTAGTTTGCTTGCTTCTTATTTTCTTCTCCATTTAATTAGCGCACGTGAATATACATGCACATATTGCCTATTTATTTTTCTTCTCCTCAAGTACAAAATGCTTCTCATTAATTAATAGCAAATATATATGCATTCACATGGGAGAAATCTTTTGTACAAAATCTCGTCAAACACTCAACGGACAGCATAAGCTAACACATCAGCTGCGGCCACAACAACCGTCAGCCAGCGTCCACGTTCGAGGTGCTGCGGAAGTCGGTGGCACAAGAGGAACAACGAACTTTTGTGCTTAGACTTTTCGCAATGCAGTTTGACACAGTTAGAAATAAAAGTGGATGGAATGGCGTGGAAGAAAAAAAAATAGCGTAGTGCTACCTGTCACCACTCGAACTTTTTAATGGTTCGGAGGTAATTGCAATCTTTTATAATGGCACTCCATGAAAAACAATCCCAAAACCATGCGTTGAAGCACACCCAGCGCTCCAAACCCCAAGCGGGCGATCATAGCAACCGGCACCGGCAGGAACAAGAGAGGGGATCGAATACGTATACCTAGAATGGCTAGAGTACTCGTAGAGCTTCCCCTTAGTGGAGAAGACGATGAGCGCGACCTCTGCATCGCAGAGCACGGAGATCTCGTGGGCCTTCTTCAGCAGCCCGTTCCGGCGCTTGGAGAAGGTCACCTGGCGGTTGATCTTGTTCTCGATCCGGCGCAGCTGCACCGGCCCGCGCCCCATCTCCGCCGCCTCGACACCTACCCTCTCCCGCTCACTCTCGGCCCAAGATTTCCATAGCAGTGCTCATACAAAGGATAACTTAAATGCAACATAAAAAAGAGATAGATCAACTGTGGCAACTATTTCTGTAGAACACCTACTGCCACGTTTCACAACACACGCTGCCACATTTATGTAGTCCACGACATTTTCCAAAAGACAAGAACACATGCTGGCAAAGAAATGGCAACCAAGCAGAATCCTACATTTACAAAACAACAGCTCAAAGTTTAACGCCCTTTTCGTTTTGGCTTGTTTGGCTGATAAACCATGACTGAAAGTACGGTTGGCTGATTTGGTGTAAGAGAAAAATATTATTCGTTGGCTAAAAAAATACGACTTATAAGTCAAACAAATCCAAACGAACGGTACGTACAAAGTAAGAAAGGCTGCTTACCAATCTAGTATCTTCATGTTTCGTCCAGTTCAATCGCCTCAGTCCTATAATGGCAGCCTTCGAAACATGATTGTTTCTTTGTCTTGTGCATTGCTTTCACCAGGCGGGGGTTCCTCTAAAACTTGGATTAGTTGGCGAAATTCTAGTTGTGCTTGTTGTATTGCCAACTAAATGGAAATTTTCTGGACTACTGTTTGATCGGAGAAAATTAGTAAACCCACCTGGTGGGTACATCCTAAAAAATATAAAAAGAGATGTTCAATGCCTGAATGTTGACACACTCACAGAAACTGTTATTTTCAGTTTCAGAACCAGTTGACAGAGCAGTAGACCATTGTATACTAGTGAAAAAATAATGGAAAAATTAGTCTCATAGCGTTGAAAGGTCACCGAAAAATTCCACTGAAACTTGGCCGTTCCGTAAAATTCAATCAAAAGGATGCAACGTCACCTGGATATAGCATTCAGTCACGTTTGGAGCAAACGCCGTCGCCTCCATCAAACTCCGCCGCTTCTCCTTTGGTCCTTCCTGAGGTGAGTGCGGCCGCATCCTCTGCTCCATGTGGGACCTGCTACAACTGCTGCTACAGCCTCCGCTTCGCCACGCAGAGAGCTCACAGCAGCAATCCCCGAGCCCGAAGCAAGCAAGCGAAGCACGCGCACGCGGCCGGCGTCAAGCTCCGGCTCAGGTGCGTGGGCACCGGGCAGCAGCAGACAAAGCAGAGGGGGATGGCGATCGTGAGCGCGGAGTACTGCGACCCAGAGGAACGCGTCCCGACGGTGCGCAAGACCTCGCACTTCTCCCCCGGCGACAGCTTCGCAGCCTACGACCACCGCACGGGCGGGCTCGCCTTCCACGCCGACACCTACGGCCGAGGCTACGGCAGGGGCGCCGCGTCGGTGGCGAGCTCGCGCAGTCGCGTTGCTCGGCCCGACCGGTGAGCCGCTCGTCACCGTGCGCCGGCGGCGCCCGTCCCTGCACCACCGATGGGAGGGCTTCCTCGGCGCCCGCGCCGACGGTGGCCAGAAGGCGCTCTTCTCAGCCCGCCGCCCTCCTCGTCGCCGGCCACCGCCCCCACACTCACCTCGGGAAGGAGAAGGGGAGGAGCTTGACGGAGACGACGACGTTTGCTCCAAACTTGACGGAATGCTATATCCAGACGCTGCATTCTTTGCATGGTATTTTATGGAGCGGCAAAGTTTCGATGGTATTCTCGGGATACGACATTTTTCCAAAAATAATCGATTGAAAGACTAGTGTACATACTGCAGGCAACATATAATCCACACACAGAGTTAACATTTTTTTTTAAAAAAAAAGAATATGCAATGCCATCCAATATGACGCATGTCATTATCATAATCTGTAATGTTAATGTAAAAAAAAAACGTACAGAACCAGCATGCCTGAAGAACGTACCCTTCAGTAGGAGACGAATCAAGCCTGAAGAACGCCCCAAGAGATGATGCTGTCCACCATGCAGGAACACCTTGAACACTAGTTGCAACATCACCGGCGGCGGCCGAAGCAGGGGTTGCAGCACCATGGGCGGCAGGAGAACCAGAGGATCGCTTGGATCCAGTGAGTCGATCCATTCTCTGAGAGATTGGAGATGCAGAAGTGGGAAATCGATTGGAGGGGCCGTTGCACTGCATCTTACTGAGGGGATCTAGATGAGGGCGCGAGAGAGGGAGATGATGCCACCGGTACGTGATGGATTTGGCTGCGGCAGAGGAGGATTTAGCTGCGGCAGAGGGGAGCGATGTGGGAGGATACGAGGGGGGCGCGAGCGGCGCGGGAGATGAGCGCGCGCAGGAGGAGAATCGAGCGCGCGCGCGCGGGAAGAGCGGAGCAAGGGCGCGCGCGGGAACGGAGGGACAGAGCGCGCGAGGAAATTGGCGGCGGCGGCGCAAGGGATCCGGGCGAGCTGAGGAAGAAACGAGCTGGGTCTCCCCATCGGTGTTTCGGTGGTTTCCTAGCGCATCGGGACGACGGTCGACTGGGTTTCGCTCGGAGGAAATCGTTTGTGTTTTCTCCTCTCCCTTCCTCTCCGTAATAAATCTACTGTCACATCAAATTACTGATTTGTCAAGCTAATTAATAAGTATTATTTATTATTTTATTACGAGAGAAAAACACCGTTCATTTATAAAAAAAAATTACGGCTCATGAGACCTGTCCTTAGACTGTCTCCAACGATGAGCACTCAAACCCAACACCCATTTAGTAGTTTGGGGCGCCAACAGTAAAAAAAAATGGCTTGACCTATTTTCTCCCTTCTCCAACAACCACAGGCGACCCATTCTTCCTCTTCTCCGTCGGCGGCATGGGCTTGAGCGGCGGCGGCGGCGGCCGCACGCTGCGCGACTGGGGCACTAGGAGCGGCGGCGGCGGTGCCAAGGCTACTGCGGCGCTGCAGGCAGGGCGGACTAGATCCACACAGCGCGCATGCCAGCATCTCTCCCCGCGAGCACAGTTCTCTCCGCGCTCCTCCCGGCGAGCACGGGCTCCGCGGGCTCCTCCCAGCCAGGCCCGCTGCTGCTCTCCACGCCAGCCACACGCCCCACCCCGCTCCTCGCCTCGCCGAAATGATCATGCGCCGAGGGGGGCAGCAATGTCGACCGGGGAGGTGGAGGGGAGGCCACCGCCGTCGTCGACCCGGGGAGGAGGAGGGGGTCGACCGCTCCACGCCGCCGCCTGCCTCCGCCCGCCGCTCCCACGCCGCTTGGGCCCACCGCTCACGGAGCACGCCAGAGGTTTGCGTCGTCGTTCAACGAGGACGCTTTTTGCGTTTGGTTCGGTGCGTGCGGCGCAAAATGCGTAGCCTCTTTGGGTCTTCTGTTGGAGAGGTTTTTGGGTTACCTAAATACACTGTGCACGCTGCATTTTGGGTTTGGGTTGCTTTGTTGGAGATAGCCTTACGGGCCAGAAGGATGGGCCCAGCGAGGCCGGCGTGCGAGTGTTGCGCTCGTCAGGGCACGCAGGGCAGGGATTGGTCGAGCCCGTCGTGGGCCTGAAGGTGCAGCTGTGGGTAGTCCGGCTCCGGCGGTGAGAAATGGTTTTCCTTGACGGCACAAGGGAGCGAGGTGGCAAGTGACAGGTGGCATAGCTGCAGGGCGACTGGCTGATGGGTGCACATGAATGTGGGACCACATGTCTGTGGGTGCCCCCCTTTTTCTTCCATTTTCGGCTATGCTAGGCTGCCTTTCTCGTATAGTTGGGCTATCTTCAACAACAACACCCAAAATATAAAACACATTCGTCCTTTGGGTAGCGCTACAGGCAAAGAGTTCAATACATATTCAGCATCTTCTCCAATAGCAGGACCCAAAAGAGAATCATTTCTGCAAATGGGTTTTCAGGAGAGATGATGATCATATTTGGGTTGTGCCTATCAGGCAACCCAAAATTGATCTTCCGTATAGGTACTCTGTTGGAGGCTAATTTTGGGTCTCTCGCTACCCATTTTGGGTTTGGGTTTTCATATGCGTTTCTCGTTGGAGGCGGTCTTACTATGGCTATTGTTGCATGTTTCTTCTCCCTCTCTAAGACTATTGTAGCTAACCAGCCGCAACAACGGAAAACCGCGTTGTAATAAGCACAGTCGATCTGTGTATATTATGATATTACTGGACTGCAACATCCCCAAATTGGTTGCTGAAATTGACTCTCTCTTTTTTTTTTTGCTTACATATCAAGCATACTACACTATTACAAATTAAAGCATACAAATACAAATTCTGATCAAACTATCTTAAGTGAACTTTTTCACGAAGAATGATAGTAGCATTGTAGCAAGAGCAAACAAAATTAGCTAAAACTTATACCTAGTAGTTTCTTTTTAACTCCAAGAGAGCAAATAAAAATATGTTGATTCAAGCAGCAGAATACAATCGCCACAATTATCATGGACAATTTGTGCTCCTCGTCGCACACCGACACTTCCTCAAGCTTCTGTCCGCTCCTCCACTTCGCGAGCATTGCCACTAGCTAGTCCGTTTTGGAGGCCATTGTGTCAGAGAAGATCGATCGTGCACGTCATCAACGTAGTGGCGCTGCTATAGGTGCGACGGGCAGCATATTTATGGCCTCACCGCGATGGTTTCAATGTGCGCGAGGAGAAGGTGTCCTCTTTTTTGTGCTACGAATAGCGTGCCATCTTCTCTCGGGCTAGTTGGATTAAATTTGGTGAAAAACCAGCTCACTGTTTATTCTTTCATAAATTTCTCTAGATTTTTCTAGATTTTTCTAAATTCCTTCCAGCGAACAGGGCCTATCTCAACTCGACGGCCGGGGTGGCCGCTTTGACTGAATGACTGGTGAACACGACCGGTGCCGCCTCGGCAGCCGAGCCGTGGCAAGTAAGGGCGGCAGTGCTCAAGAGTGAGCTAGGAGTAGGGGCGGTGCGCGAGAAGGGCAAAGGGGCGGAGGTCAGGACGCGTAGGAGCAAGCTCCGGTGAGAGAGAAGAACGGAGAGAGTCGAAGAAGATAAAGCTCGCCCGCAATATCAATTTTGTCTTTTACTTATGTCTCATCCATACTAGGAAAACAAAATTTTAACAG